CCCGGAAGGCCACCGGCAGCCAGTGCAGCTCGCGCAGGAGAGGTGTTACATGGGAGCATCTAGAGGCCCCCAAAATCCCCCGCGCGGCCGCATTCTGAACTAGCTGGAGCCTCCAGGTGCACCTCAAGGGGAGCCCCATGTAGAGAGCGTTGCAATAGTCCAGGCGGGAAACAACGAGGGCTTGAGTGACCGTGCGTAGAGCGTCACGATCCAGAAAGGGGCGCAACTGGCGTATCAGGCGAACCTGATGAAAAGCCCCCCTGGCCACGGCTATCACATGATCGTCTAAAGACAGCCGAGCATCCAGGAGGACGCCCAGGGCTCCTGGATGCTTAACCGATCTTAGGTTAATAGGTTAATTACACATAGTTGGAGAACTGCTCAAATTCTTTTATTTAATTAAAACTTTTAGAGCCCGGTTCAGATGCATTTCTGTTCAAACAATCACACAGTTTGTAATCTACATAGATTTGCAAAACAATGGGATAATAAAGGAACATTCCTGAACTTTATGATTCATCTCATGGTTACCGTGAAATTGTGTGAACGCATCAATGCAGTGCATGCTATCTCAGCTTGCAGAGCTTGGATTCATGGAACGAGTTTACCAAACATGTAAATGTTGCCGAGTATACAGCCTCCTGCTACGTAACTAAGCTCCATTTCATGCTGAATAAACTAAATTATTAATGTATCTTAAATAGAAAACTAGATAGATTTTTTACTCCAGAAGCATTTTATTAAAATACATTCGATACAAATAAAAAAAAAATCCAATTTAAATTTTTAAAAATCCGATTTGTTTTTAATTTTTTTTAAAAAAAAATCATCGATTATTATCCGCTTATCCAAGAGGTCTGATCTACCAATGCCCATCCAAGGTTCCTGGTCAATGCAGGAGATGCTTCCTGGACTGACCAAGCTCTCGGGGATGCGATGCAGATGTTTTCCCTCGAGAAAGGGGTGCTCATTCGGTCTCTCTGCTTGCCTCCAGCTGCAGTTCTCAGAGGTGCTGGTGAAATGGAGAAGCTTCTTCCACCAACTGGCTGCTGAGCAGGGCAAGGTGGGCCTGGCAGCCCTGGAAACCAAACTGGAGGTAGAGAAGCTGCAGGTGAGTGGCTGACGGGGGTTGACAAAACGGAGTTGGCTAAGGAGATCCGATTCCTGCATTGAGAGAAAATACCTTTTGGAAAACAGGTGCTGGGAACAAAAGTGGAGTTGCCTCCTCTTGAGGTGCTTTTCCCAAATATATTTGCGCTAAGCTCTTCCCTGGAAACTGCTCTCCCTTTGGGGGGCTTGTGTTGCCCCATTCCCCCTCCCACACACACACACACACACGTGCACATATGGAAAGAATCAGGTCCTCAGAAAGCACACCTGTTGCACAGGTCTAGATTCCAAGCTCAGCATAGCAAGAGTACCCAAAGGGGACACACAAATTCCAGGAAAGCAGTGCACAATTCGAATAGGGCAGGATACACGGCAGAAAGGCACAGAACTGGGCACGTTGCTCCAGCAATGCTCAAGTCCTCAGGTGGGCAATGCCAGTGCAGCCCTTCATGAAAGGTGAGGTTGCCTCCTCACAAATAGTCTAGCCCAGGGCTTTTCAACCTTTTCACCCATTGTACCACTTTTGGGATATGGCAATATCCGAGTACCACCAGTCGCCTAGCAAGGTGTCAAAAACTTGATCAAAAAAAAAGGAAAGGAAAAAAGTGATGAAGTACAGGTAGTCCTCAACTTACAACAGTTCGCTTAGTGACTGTTTGAAATTACAATGGCACTGAAAAAGGTGCCCCCCAAGCCACAGCCGAGCAAGACACCTGCCTGCCCACCCGGTGGCGCTCTTCCTCCTGTCCGAGGTTTTCATTGTTGTGAGCATTTCTGTTGAGGATTGGCAGCGGGGGTGGGGTGGGGGGTGTTTGGTTTTTATTCCCCCCCCCCCGGTCTGCTGGGTGGTTGCAGCAGGTTTTGGTCCCTTCACATGACCCTGGGACACTGTGACCGTCATAAATATGAATCAGTTGCCAAGCATCTGAATGTAAATCACAAGACCCTGGAGATGCTGCAATGTTCCAGCTGATCGGCGCTTCTTCTGGGCTCAGCAGAAACGCCAGGATCAGTGCTGAGTTCCAGCTGGAGCCTGGCGCTGATCCTGGCGCTTCCGCTGAGCCCTGACAGCCCTGCAGCTCCAGCCGTCTCTCGCTCAGGCTTGTGCGGTGCTACCACCGGTTCAGCTCATTCAGGCCCGCTACCACTTTTCTAGGATGGTCGCGTACCACCTGCCAGGTGCCAATGTACCACAGGTGGTACCCGTACCACTGGTTGAAAAGCCTTGGTC